CTTTGTGAATTTTGCATGAAATATATGAAAACTACGGAAATGAGACAGAGGCATTCAGTACGTTTTGGTTTTAGTTTTGCTGCACTAAAAAAACCTCTACTTTTGAACATTTAATAAAATCTGATAAATCGAAAGTGATTTTTTTATCACTCGAAAAAAATTTTTTTAGCCAGAAATTGATGCTGATTTTTATTTTTTCCAGGAAAGGTGTGAGCTTCGACACCCACCAGGCAATGAAATTTATCGTAAGGACGACTTGTCGGTATTTGAGGTAGCGCAGTTAACAGTTCTGTCGTTTGCTTTCCAAGTGACTGCGTGTAGTTATACGTTTTTTAACCTTTCTCTCCGTGGCTTGATTTGATTAATAATTTGGAGCTTTTTAGGTTGATGGTTACTGCTCCAGAATTTACTGTCAGAATCTTTGTCTCCTGGCGAAGCTATTTATTGATCACAAAACATTATACTATGATGTCGAACCTTTTTTATTCTATGTGGTCACTAAGAACGATAGCAGTGGATGCCATTTTGTCGGCTACTTTTCCAAGGTACTTTTATTATCTGCGGCAGTTAGTGTTTCCAAATCCCAGAGCTTTAAAAATATCCCATTTAACTCACTGCGCCATGTAATCATCAAATTATTTACAAATAACGTTTACTGAATATGTTTCACTGAATTTAAAATGATAATTTTTAGGAAAAATTTAGTGCTCAGAAGTACAATTTATCGTGCATTATGACATTGCCGTCATATCAGAAGCAGGGATACGGAAGATTTTTGATTGATTTTAGTAAGTGTTTAGATGTATACTATACACATAAAAAAGGTCGTGGTACCATGCTCGTCCTTCTACGTGGTTGCTGCGGAGAATCAACAACTCACAGCTTGACCTGCTTGGTTTGTATCTTCGTGGATGTTTAAGCAGTCAGATTTACTGTCAAACGAGCGGTAAGCAGAATAACATTGTGACCAAGCGAGAAAGTAAGCGATCTTTTAAGCGGTGGTCGAAG